CAGGTTAGTGGTTCAAACTCATCAGTTGCTCCACAGAAGATGAGACCATCTACTTCTGTAAAGATTTACAGCCTTAGAAACCCAATGGAGATTACTATGAGTCAGAATCAACTGAAGGGCAGTGAGTTGGGTTTGCTTTTCTGGTTTAAAAAAAAAAGGAAAGAGAAGCCCTAGTGGTGCAATGGTTAAGCACTGGTGGTTTGAACCCCCCAGCCACTCCACGTAAAGATTACAGCTTTGGAAATTCTGTGGGGGCAGTTTCTACTCTGTCCTATTGGGTCATTATGAGTAAGAACTGACTTGATAGCAACGGATTTGGTTTCCTTGGTTTACTGAAAGATAGGGTAAGTTTGTGAAATATAACTAAGCCTTAAGTTCTTATTCACTGCATTAAACTGAGCTATTTCAACGCCATCATATCCTTCTAAATGGGAGGCTGTGGTTAAGTCATCCTTGCTTGCCCTTCGAGCTCAGTTCAGGTGTCACCTTCTTTGGAAAGCCACATTCAAACTCGCCCCACCCTTAATCTTACTCTAGAAGTACTGGGAGCCCAACCCATGCTGTATAGACCTGCACAATGACACTACCACAGCCTGCACTGAGTCTGCTCATGCACCAACTGTGAGCTCTTTGGGGGCAGGGAACATGCTGTATTCAAGTAGTTCATCAGTAACTATGGAATGAAGTGATTCATATATATTGATAATGATGTACAGAATTTGAGAGCTAAAAAGAACCTCAGATGCCAATTATCCCAACCCTCCACTATTTCCTGAGATAGATATATAGATATAGATATACGTATATAAAATATCACCTTCCCCTTCACCTCAATCAATTTTTTTGAGATTTTAAGCGATGGGCTCCAAATTAGAGAAAAACCAGGGACCACAATTCAGATCTTGAAACGCCTACTCCAGCGCTCTGTCCCAGGCAACCACACTGCCTTGCCTTTGTAATTTCACGCAATTAAATGAGGGCATCTTACAAATTTAGTTCAATTCCCCATCTACCTCCACCCCGGTCAATTTCACAGGTGAATGACTTCCATTTGAAAGGCCTTACTCAAAATTAAGGAGCTCCAGTGGCATAGTGGGTAAGGCATTTGGCTGCTAACCACAAGGTCAGCAGTTGAAACCCACCAGCTAGCTGCTCTGCAGATGAGGCAATCTACTTCCAGAAAAACTTACAGCCTTGGAAACACAATGGGGGTCGTCATGAGTCAAAATCAACTCAATGGCACAGGGTTTGGTTTTTTGGGTTTTGCTCAAAATTCATACAGAAGCAGGACTATAATTCAGACCTTAGTTGAAAAGATGTGCTTTCCACTCTTTCATAAAGATTCATCTTGCAAGTGGGAGGCAGTGGCTGCAGAGCAAAGGCCAGCACAGCCCACAGGCCTAATCCAGCAGGCCACCCCAGCAAGGCTCTGGGGGCATAGTGCCTAAGGCATTGGACTGCTAACCAGAGGGCTGGCAGTTTGAACCCACCAGCCACTCCTCAGAAGGAAGATTGGGCCAACTACTTCTATAGTGATACTGCCTTGGAAACCCAAGGATAGGTCGCTATGAGTCGGATCCAACTCGACAGCATTGAGTTTGGCTTTTCTTTTTTTTTTTTGGTTTACAAACTGAGTGGCTTTTCCTTCTTAAAAATGGTTGGGGGGAAAATCAAAAGAAGAGTCATATATTTTCCCATATGAAAATTATATGAAATTCAAATTTCAATGTCCATAAATAAAATTTTATTGGAATACAGCCATGATAATTTGTTTAGGCACTATTTATGGCTACTCTCGCATTACAATAGCAGAGCAGAGTAGTCAGTGGGGGAGAACTTTATGCACTGCAAAATCTAAAATATTTACTCTCTGGGTCTTTGCAAAAGAGCCCAGGTGACACAGTGATCAGGCACTCAGCTGCAAGCCAACAGGTCAGTGGTTCAAAACCACTAGCCGCTCCATGACAGTCTGCTTCCTAAAGATTTCCAGCCTTGGAAGGGACCAGGTTTGCTGGTCTGATAGAATCTGGTGGAACCCCTGAGACTATGGCCCCTAGCTGCCCTTCAGGTCTGGAATTAAACCCACTCCTGTGGCTTCCAGCCAAACAAAAGACAGGTATATGAGCTGAACATTTACAGATACACTCTTAGGAGAGATCAATCATGGGAGAACAGAAGGGCTGTGTATGCACAGGGAGACAGCTGGGGTGGGGGGAATGCATGGGAGGGAAGGACACAGGGAAGAGGTAACTAAGGGGAGCAAGTAGGAGGGGAGCTGTTGCATTGTGGGAAATTGCCCTCAATGTCATGTGACAAAGCTGCTGTATGGAAAATGAATTCACTCTGTAAACTTTCACCCAAAAAGATTTACAGCCTTGGAAACCCTATGGTGCAGTTCTACTTTGGCCTATAGTGTCACTGTGAGTCAGAATTGACTTGGCAGCAGTGGGTTTGGGTTAGGGTTTGGATCTTGACAATTGGGCTATCCCGGATGGAGAGAAGCCAGCCTTCTCTTAGAAGGCAGAAGTTCTACTACTATCAAACTCTGCAGCCCTCAGTTTAGAAAAAACAAAGGGTTTGGATGAAGCTGATAACATCATACTGTCACACTGAACAGAAGGCCACGCATTCATGTCACCCAGATGGGCAGGAGTTGAAGTGGGGTCTGCCCAGGTTAAGTGAAGCAGTGGTACAGCAGAGGCCCAGGAACATGGGTCTTCCCAGAGAGTGCCCCCCCCCCCACCATTCCCTACCACACCTCAGTAGCTCAGAAGGTCCTGCCAGCTGTCTGTCACATGATTACCACCTGGGTTTCCCTTGATTGAGAGTAAATGAGCCCACCTGAATGGCAGCTGCATGGCCCAACCATCTTTTAGGGTTTACCACCTGCAGTGGAATCCTACTCTGACCAGTTACTACCTATGTGACCCTACACCCCCTGGCCCACAAGTCACTTCAGGCTCATAGCGACCATTATAGGACTGAGTAGAACCACTCCATAGGGTTTCCAAGGCTGTAATCTTTAAGGAAGCAGATTGCCTCATCTTTCTCCTGCAGAGCCACTGGTAAGTTTAAACCACCGACCTTTGGGTTCGCTGTAGTTGTTGTTATGTGCCATCGAGTCAGCCCCAACTCATAGCGACCCCTCCTTGGGTTTCCGAGGCAGTATCACTACAGAAGTAGGATTGCCCAACCTTCCTTCCGAGGAGTGGCTGGTAGGTTTGAACCGCCAGCCTTCTGGTTAGCAGTCAAGTGCCTTAGGCTCTAAGCTACCAACCACTGCACCACCAGGGCTCATTTGCATCCCCAGCTTTCTCACCCAAGAAGCATAACAAGTACTTCTTTCATAGGCTTATTTGGAGTATTAAACAAGATATAGTTCAAATGTCAGGTCCCTCTTAATCTTCCTCTCTCCCTTTCCCAGAGGCAATATTTAGAGAATAAACAGTAAGTGAGCCTTGTTAGGAAACTTTTTTTCAAATTAGCTTAGGGTTTGGGACTTATTGCAGAGGCCTATGAAAGAGAAAAGAAAACCAAAACCAAACTATCAGTGCAATAAAAATAGGCTCCAGTACATGGCTGGGTGCTTTTCTCCCACGTCTCTCAGTTCTTTGACACATCCTTCCTATCTTCCAAATTGTAACCCAAAAATAAGACTGCTATAATTTTTAGAAAAGTTACATTTATCAAACTTTTATAGCAAGCCATGCAAAGAACTAAGCTATGATACATTCATGTTCAGTTAGGAAAACCAAGATTGTAAAAAATAGCAGATGCTGAAAGTCCCAGTTTATTTAGTCTGGCTTCCTCACATGAAGCTCTTCTTGTTCTTAAAATACTCAGCCTTGGCTGAATTCCAAAATTGGCATAAGCCTGCTTCAGGTGTTTTGAAGACACTGAACAGAATCAGAACTGAAAACAAAATTGGAAAATAAAGCCTTTTATGAGACACAAATTCAAGAAGAACCACAACTAAACCAAGTTTTCTACCTGTAGTTATAGCAGTAAATATGCATATAGTCTGAACATTGATTGTCAAGGGTGCTAACTGTTCATTTCAGTAACATGTTACTTATTCTTAACATTTGCTAACACATAGTTCATTGCCACTGTCACCAGAACTGCATAACATTTTCTGAAATCTGGAATAGGTTGAAAAGATACTTTTTTTTTTTTAATGGATTATGCTAGCAATCATTTTAATGGCCATCTAATCTTAGTTATCAAGGGAGGATATCAGCATTCTGAACAATGTTAAATTATAAATTTTCCAGCCTAAGCAATGCACATCTTGATATACCGGGCAACCAAAAACAGTCCCTGGTACTTCCTCCACCAGATTCCTAACAAAGGTAGCACACAAGTTCAGTGTAAATTAAAATATTATCATTTTGGGACGTAATTACTCGAAAGTTCAAACTGGTAAGAGATGGAAAACTCAAACGGCTAAAAGTCGCTGAAGGTGAAGTGAGTTAGGAAGGTCAGGACATGACATGCAAATTTGTATACACTGTGCGTGCAGCTGGCCGCAAGGCTAAGTCAATGTTTCTGTACTCACAAAAGTAAAGAGAGAAAACGAAAAGGCAGGAAAGTGTCATCTAGTCACCTTACAGTTGTACAGAGAAGGAAAACATGGGCCAAACCTAACAGAAGCGAAGCCAACACCCTGAATGGAGATGGGGTGACTGTTGCAGATACCTAGTACTTCTAAAGGACTGAAATTCTCCAAGACCAACACACGGACCGCAGGGCTCCAGCGCCGAGCGCTGCCTGGCTCAGTCGGTCTCCCGCACGAACACGGAGGCTTTTGCACAAGCCTCTTTGCCAGCTGTGGCGAGCGCCACGAGGAACTTCACGCAGCGCCCCTCGATGCGCCAAGGAGGGACAAAAGTAAATAAGTAGCCAGCGCACTTCCTCCCCAGAAAGGGAAAAATTTCCAAAGGGCGACAAGGAATATTTGGCTACCGGCCGCAAAAGGTGGGAAGGGGTTACACACGCACCTGCATTGTAAAAGCGGTCCAGCACCGTGGTTTCCCCGAAGTCCAATTTGCCAAAATGCAGGGTCTCCAGCGCGGCGCCCACAGCTTCGCACGCCTCCCGCAGGCTCTGCAGGGCTTCACTCTCGGCCATCACCAGCTGCCCCTGGCTTGCTTCGTTGATCACATATGCCACGGTGGTCCGGCGGCCGCCCCCGCCACCGGAGGTGCCCCGGTTCCGAGAGGCGCTGCCCCCGGAGCTGGCAGTGGGACAGCCGGTGGTGCCAGGGCCGGCGGAGCTCTCTACGTTCCAGAAGCTGCCGGGTGGCGGCGGTGGCAGCTGGTTCTCCTCGCCCTCCACCGTCGCCGCCGCTCCTCCCCTTCGGCAGCTGGCGCCCTCGTTGAAGGTGCAGAAGCCCAAGGGGCCGAAAGATGGCACAGAGAAAGTGATGCCCTCGCCTGCCTCCACGCTCATCGCTCCGGGCGGCGCTGCTGCGGCCGCGGCGTCCCCGGCCGCGCCACCCCGTCTGGCCAGCCACAGCTCCGGGCTGCTCCGCGCCCGCCCGGCTAAGCAGCTGCCATCGCGCGCAGAGCCTTCCCCGCCGCGCCGTCGCTTCCTCTCCGGCGCCCTCTCCCCGGGCGGCACGCCGCTACCCGGCGGCGGCTCGCCCCTCCTCGGCGCCTCCGTGGCCGCGCTGTTCGCCGGCTGCGAGGTAGAGAGTGCAAGGGGTGGGGACGCTGGGCTGGGCGCGAAGGGACAGCGCTTCCTTTTCTTGGCTCGCCGACCTGCGCCGCGGTGCGGCTCTTGGGCGCAGCGCTCAGGCTCCGTGCGCCCAGCCGGCAGCAGTGCAGCCCGGCTCCTTCCGTCCCGGTCGCGGGGAGGGGCGAGGGCGGGGACCTTCAGAGAGCAGAGCTACCTGGCGAGTACCTTACAGGCAGGCTGGTCCCTGGGGCTGCGTCCCGGAACCGCGGCAGCTGCAGCCAAAAGGATCCGCCTCCCTCTTCAGTAGCAGCTCCTCTTCGTCGGCTCTAGTTCCTCCTCCTCCCCTTTCCTCGTTTCTTTTCCGATCCCCGCGGCCGCTGCGTCCAGCGCAGCCTCGCCACTGAAGTCGAGCCGCCCCTTGCAGCTGCTTGCCTTCTCGGCCACCCACTCCCTTCTGGCCGCCCACTCGTCGCCGCACCGCAAGGCAGGGCGGCCCCAGGGGAGGGCGCTGCTGGGAGGCTCCAGTGTGGACGAAACCAACCGCTCTGCGTTCCTGGACGTCGGCCCTTCCCCAGCGAGGCGCCCCGCCAAGCTTCTCTGCCGTCACCAACTGGGGCCCTACCTAAGAAGACTTGGAGTAGGCAAAACTCGGAGTGCAAGCAACTGCACGGTGGCGAAAAAAAAAAAAAAAAGTCTGGCGAATTCTCAGGTCTTTCGAGCCAGCCCTGGCGGGATTTGCAGCGTTCCCAGCAACCACGGCGCCCCCTGCCGGCCCCTGCCGGCCGCACGCCTCAGCGTTTACTGGGACCGCGTGCAGCGTGGGCCAGGTGGCGGCGCGGGGCGGGGGGGAGGGGGGGCCGTGCGTTACACAAGGCGGGAAGATTTCAACTAAAGCCCTGGAGTCAGGGCCTAAACTGGAGGGTGGTTTATTTTTGACAGTGGCGCTCCAGGAGTGGAAGATTAAAAGTATCGCATCTGACCCTGGTACCCTTCATTTTAAAAGTTCCAATAGCTTGTGTTTGTTATCCTTAATTGGTTAGCTCCCAAGTACTGAAAATTTAGCATTCTCAGTTAGGACCTTAAAATTTCCCCCACATGTGCCATCCACTTACTTAAGACAGAAGAACATCAGGCTGGCCAGTCATTCGCAAAGTGGGGGGAAATTGGCTGACCTGTTTTTTTTTTTTTTTTTTTTTAATTAGACCACAGAGAAATGCCTGGGTTGTTAAAGAGCACTCAGAAAGCAGCTATGTATTTAGGGAGCAAACATGAATGTGTACGACAAGGGCTCTGCTCACAGAGAATTTCTCCCGAATGCTGTAACTGAATTTCAGTGCAATGAAGGCTGCACTGAAATAAAGAGGTTTGGACTTCCTGTTTCCAAGAACTGAGAAATTAACTGGAAAGATTAATAAGATTTCACAAGATCCTCAGAAAAAAGGCAGATGAAAAATGTGAATTACACTTCAAGCCTGGAAAAAAGAACATTCAAACAGCTGAATTGTCAAGCATTAAAGAGAGTAATATTGAGCAAAAACACCTAGCAGCTACATAATTGTGTCTTCAATGAAGCAAAGTGACAGCCTGTACAAACGGTGTTAAAATAATAGAAGTACATGAACGAAACTACTCTTTATCAGTGATGTCACTAGAGCTGGTGTTGTCCAGTGTGGTCACTCATGGAGTCACACGCCCCATTGACTTTCTCCCATACCAGACCATACAGAATCCTTATTATCAATCTTTACTATCTATGTTTATTATCAGGAGCTCTGGTAGCATAGTACCTAAGGCACTTGACTGCTAACCAGAAGACTGGCGGTTCAAACCCACCAGTCACTCCTGGGAAGGAAGATGGGGCAATCTACTTCCGTAGTGATACTGCCTCGGAAACCCAAGGAGGGGCCACTATGAGTTGGGTCCGACTTGACAGCACATAACAACACAACAACATGTCTATTACCAGTTTTAATCACAGAATAATATTTGGTAAATACAGTTGTAAATTGTTTAAAAGTAATATTTCTTAGACTATATGAATGCTAACAGCAAAATTATTTGTAAAATCTTTCTGTATTGAATTATATTACTAGTTATAACATTATTCATCAGTAACTGAGCAGAAGGTCTAGTGACGTAGTGCATAAAGCATCTGACTACTAACCAGAAGTCTGGCGGTTCAAACTCACCAGCCACTCCTCAGAAGGAAGGTTGGGCAACTACTTCTACAATGATACCACCTGAGAAACCCAAGGAGGGGTCGCTATGAGCCGGGTCTGACTCCACAGCAGTGAGTTTGGGTTTTGTTTTTTAGAACTGAGCAGAAGCCTTTTTTTCCACTTTTCTCCTTCTTTTCCTTTAACTGCTACTTTATTCTCAAAAAAGTTATTGATGTGAGTTCATAAATACTAATTACCACAACACTGTAGTTAATCACCAGAATATTTGTCAAAATCAAAGACTATAAAACCAACAAAAACAACAGCGCATACTTGCAGTGCATGCGTACGAGACCATGTAATTCAAAGTTATTGTAATTGGGTAATAATGACAGCTCTGACCAGATCTCTTAGCAGTTTATTAGAAGACTCAAAAAGTAAATTAGCATAGAGTTTTAGCCTTGTAGCTATATTGATGCATGTAAGCTGGGCTTAGGAAAAATGCTTTTGTTGTTGTAACTAACTATGTTGTTGTTGTTGTTATGTGCCGTGGAGTCGGCCCCGACTCATAGCGACCCCTCCTTGGGTTTCCGAGGCAGTATCACTACGGAAGTAGGATTGCCCAACCTTCCTTCCGAGGAGTGGCTGGTGGGTTTGAACCGCCAGCCGTCTGGTTAGCAGGCAAGTGTCTTAGCCACTATGCTACCAGAGCTCCCGTAACTAACTATAGGGATAATTTTATCCAGAATAATATATATCCCTTTTCTGCAGATTTCTACTGAAATTTTTATAGACAGTCATTTTGGTGTCACCTCCTCTGACAGTGTAGCCTGGTGCAGTCTGCACCCTCCTAGTGATCCTGCTGCTTTTTATGTCCACTGCAATCTGTGACTCATGTTCTACTTTGGGAATTGATATCAACAGTAAAGGAGAAATTTAGTGAATCAATGATCACACAGAAACAAAATGTTGATAGACCACTAATAAATATGTGCCTATTAATGCTTCCAACAACTTGCCAAACCTCTAACCTCTTACAGAAGGACATTATCCCTACCTCATGGTGGCCAAGAACACTAAACACAGAAAATTCTTTTTTTTTTTAAATATGATTTGAGTGAAAGTTTACAGAGCAAATTCACTTTCTGACATTGACTACAATTCCCCACAATGCATCAGCTCTCCACCCACTTCCTCCCCATAGTTACCTCTTCCCTGTGTCCCTCCCTCTATGCACTCCTATCCCCTGAGCTGACTTCCTGTGCGCACACAGCCCTTCTATTCTCCCACGATTAAACACAGAAAATTCTTTAGGGCCACGTCTGATAAAGCTAACAGAGTCAAATATGCACAATTTCAGGTAGTTGAAATTCAGGGCCTGTGGGTAGGCTGGGGCACCGAAGTGATGACCTAATGTACAAAACAGCCTTGGAAAAGAGCACTCGGACCCAGAAGAACAAAACCAAAAAACACCAAGAATATAGCCTGAGATATTCCAGGGAGGTAGGACTTGAGAGAAAAGCAGAATCCACCTGCTGTTGATGCCTTCCAGAGTTAAGAGATAAGGCTCACAGTCATAACTTAGCAGCCTCTTTGTCCTTCTCATGCGTTAAAGAGCCCTGGCTCTTGGGAATGGAATGTGTACATATGATCATAAGCTTCAGATCAACCTGTGCTGTTGTGGAGTCGGCTCCAACTCATAGCAACCCTATGTGTAACAGAATGAAACACTGCCTGTTCCTGCACCATCCTCACAACTCTTGCTATCTCTGAGCCCATCATTGCAGCTACTATGTCAGTTCATCTCATTGAAGGCTTTCCTCTTTTTCACCGACCCCCCACTTTACCAAGTATGATATCCTTCTCCGGGGAATGATCCCTTCTCACACGACCAAAGTAGGTGAAAGGAAGTCTGGCCATTCTCGCTTCTAAGGAGCACTTCTTCCAGGACAGATTTGTTAGTTCTTCTGACAGTCCATGGTACTTTCAGTATTCTTCGCCAACACCACAACTCAAAAGCAACAACTCTTCTTTGGCCTTCGTTATTCATTTTCTAGCTTTCACATGCATATGAGGCAATTGAAAACACCATGGCTTGGGTTTAGTCTCACCTTAGTATTCAAGGAGATATCTTTGCTCTTCAGCACTTTAAAGAGATCTTTTGCAGCAGATTTGCCTAGATCTGGCAACCTGTTGTTGTTGTTAGGTGCCATCGAGTCGTTTCCGACTCATAGCGCCCCATGCACAGCAGAATGAAACACTGCCCAGTCCCACACCAGCTCCACGATCCTTGCTACTTGAGCCCATTGCTGCAGCCACTGTGTCACTCCATAGTGTTGAGGGCCTTCCCCTCCTTTGTCCACCTTACCAAGCATGGCATTCTTGTCCAGGAAATGGTCCCTTCTGATGACATGACCAAAGTAGGTGAGACAAAGTCTGACCATTCTTGCTTCCAAGGAGCATTCTGGCTACACTTCCTCCAGGATAGAATTGTTAGATCTTTTAGCAGTCCATGGTATCCTCAGCATTCTTTGCCAGAACCACAACTCAAAAGCATCAATTTTTCTTTGGTCTTTCTTATACACTGTCCAGCTCTCACATGCACATGAGGTGATTGAAAATACCATGGCTTGTGTCAGGCACATCTTAGTCCTCAAGGAGACATCTTTGCTCTTCAGCACTTGAAAGAGGTCCTTTGCAGCTAATTTGCCCAGTGCTATACATAGCATAGTGCCTAAGGCACTTGACTGCTAACCAGAAGGATAGTGGTTCAAACCCACCAGCCACTCCTTGGAAGGAAGGTTGGGCAATCTCTACTTCTGTAGTGATATCGGA